CCAACATTCTCCCATGTCACCCCTACACCACCGTTATAAAACCGCAGATTTCCTTAAAAAATGGACTATTGATCATGCCGGACCCTCACCAGGAGGAGGGGCTTTGGGTGAGCGCCGTCGTTTTTGATCCACGTGTGCTTCTTCTTCCTCGGGCATAAGGGACAGCGTAGATATCCTGGGATACAGCATTCGCGGGGACATAGTGCCTGCGGAAGCGCTCTCCACCTGACGGGACAAACGTTTAGAACAACCTTCCTTGCTCCTGGCAACGTGAACCCCCGTGACACCCTTGGTGGGGCCGGCCCCGTTGGCCTCCGGACAGGTCTCCCGCCCTCACGAGCGGTTTTCAATGTACTTTCCGCCGGTCGTCCCATTTTCTGCCTGTCCCGTCTCGGGTCGGAATTGGAAGCCCCGCCCGTTGGACTTTTGGTGTTTGTTGGATTCCCCCGTAGTCTATTTTTCTTGCTCTTTTTGGTACAATGGCTGATAGATATGTGGTCGCCAAGGGGCCGGAGGCGTGCCTGCCACGGGCAATGCCACCGTAGGACTCTCTGAATTGGTGGGTTTTGTCCCTCCCCTCTTCCCTGCATATCCTGCCGTTTTTCACCCCTGGGCAACCTGGGGAAACCGTGGTGAGTTTTCTTTTTTCTTTGGTCCTGCTTTTCTGTCGACGACAGCATATATTTTAGACTGGTGGGTCCGCTGGGTGTCACTTGGTTTTGTTCACCTGTTTCCTGGCCAGAATTTCAGGACCATGGGTCCTATTCGAGCCTTTCTCTCTGACCTCACAGTTTGCTTACTCCGTAAGGTTTCCCTTGTTGGTTTAGGCTGATGTACTGTGTGGTAGTACTCCCCAGTTTGCTGCGTCTGTGGGTGACCCCCAATTGGGATACGCCGTAGTGGGGGAAGGTGGTCCGCTCCGAAGGGTGAAGGGCTGTTGTTTATTTCACCCTTCCCCTGTTCCCTGATTTCTGTCATTTCCCCCTTGTTGGCTGCAGGGCTAACCCTCAGCCTCTGTGAGGTGGTCGTATTTCCTGCTGGTTTGCCGAGTGAGATCGGTCCTATTGCCAATCATCTTATGAGCTGTCTTTGCTGCTTTTTCCTTGTTGTGCAGCAGCTGGCGATGCTTCGTTGTCGGTTGGACGCTGTCATAAAGATCGTCGGCCTCCCCTGTGCCAGCTCCGCCCCAATTCGTTAGTGGGGGACTAGCAGGAGGAGGAGGCGGAGAGACATCTCCGGTGACTGGAGAAATGGCCCGTCAAGTCTCGAAAGGTCGGAGTTCGGGAGAATCTTAATGATGTCCTTGGGGTCGGCGTACGAGGTGTCCGCCTCTAATTTGGAGGCTGATTGCTGGAGGTGGAGTAAGAAAGACGGTGTGGTCGGGGGAGAGCGGGGTAGTTCCCCCCGGGGTACGGGGTAGGGTTGCACCCCGCTCCTGGCGTCGTTGGAGTGTGGCCTTCTTCTGCTGGCTGCCCATCACCATCTCCACAGGGTCTGAGTATATCTGCTCCTCCTGGGACACTGCCTTCTTCCCAGCCTGCACGAGAGAGACACACACAGACAGCTAATACTGGGGGAAATCTGTCAGATGGGACCGTTTTAACAACAAAACCCATGTTATATCTTGAATTGCGGTAGTTCAAACAGTCACATGACTACAACGAGAGCTGAGATTTAGCTCGAAATGGGAATGTGTCAGTACATTATACTGCAGGAGTATGGTTTACATTTTAACATTTTTTAAAAATTCAGCTCTTCTGTACTAGCTGTTGTTTCATTCCCTTCTAACAGCATCCATTAAGTTTAAAATGTGAAATTTTCCACTAATTGGTGGGCTGGGCTATTACTCGTGGTCTCCCGCTAGTAGCTCATGGAGAGTCTGCTACGGGCTAGCTACAGCAGTAGATAGCATGCGGGCGCCGATACACGCCCTTCGTTGTGACTTCTTGTGCCTTCAAGATACACAGAGCAAGCGGACCCGCTCGAGGTAAGCTTGTTCTAATTAGCATATTGGCTTTTTCGCTCGTGTTCATGCCGTAATCACGAACGCAGCAGTTTCAGAGAAAACCCCACATATATTTCGACCTGTACCCAACGCTGAATACGTCGGTATTGTTTGTGGAGCGATTGATGGCTCGTGAAGTGGGTAACAGATGACAGACAGCACGACAACTACAAAGCTGGGCCACAAGGGTTAATTATGTGGACAGTCCAAATTGTTAAAGTTGTCACAGACCTTGTTCTTGGAAGGGCGAGGAAGGGAGGAGGTGAAGGAAGGAGGAGAGGTGAGGGGGGAAGGGGGAGGGGGGGGAGACAGCAACCTCGGAGACAGAGGCGTGTCCGAGAGAAAACCCGCGATGGAGTGAGGTCGCGAGGGTGACATCGGTCGGGCGGAGTCAGAGTGAGGTGGGGGAGGGAGGGGCCGGGCGGGGCAGGGAGGGAGGAAGACATCTCGTCTCGGCTGCTGCTGGTGAGGTCGTGCATGGAGGAGTGACTGGTGGTCACCGGCTGGGGGAGGGGCCTGTAACCATGGCAACAAGATGTTTACACAGAAGGAATGAGGAAACTGAAATTCACAGAATGAGACCAAACAACACTGTCTTCTGGTAATTGACTCAAATCAGTACAAATTATACAGTTATATGCAGCAGATGCGAAAAATTTGAGTGACTCATCTGCAAAAATTACATCCGCGAAAGTTTATAACATAATGTGAGACAAGCACTTTGTGAAAGTTTTCTTTCAAGTCATTTGCCACTGCTCTTCCCCCTATAGTGCATTGTTCCGGTGACGAAAATCTTAAGGTTGCTTGTATGTATGTGGCATTATTGGACATGTATGAAGCTTCAGAACATGTACGTATATACATACCATCCATGTACTACATAGTATGTAGATCTCACACCAATTGACTTAGACCTGTTTTTAAAAACTGCTAATCCTGTGGACCATTACAGCTACACAGTGAGCTCTCACTGGAGACTGGCAAGGAGAATAAAGCACACAGTGAGCTCTCACTGGAGACTGGCAAGGAGAATAAAGCACACAGTGAGCTCTCACTGGAGACTGGCAAGGAGAATAAAGCACACAGTGAGCTCTCACTGGAGACTGGCAAGGAGAATAAAGCACACAGTGAGCTCTCACTGGAGACTGGCAAGGAGAATAAACCAGAGAGCCTCACCGTCGCTACACTGAAAAGTTCACACAGAAGCCGAAGAACGAAGGTAGCACAAGAGACCCGCTCTCGATTGCTCCCCGCGTGCGCAAAATTTGATTCATCAAGTGCAATCCGAGGTTCACGCAGCTGGAATGTGATCCTAGGATCTGAGGTTCAATCCTAGGATGGTCCGAATCAGAACTTTGCGCCTAACGTATGGAGAGCAGCTAGGTGTATAGTAAGAGAGCTGGACTTGCCTGTAGACGTATAGAATACAGCCCCTGTCCCAGTCAGCCTCCCAGAGTGCAAACATAGGGAGACAGTTGACAGATCGTGTTCAGTCAATACTAACAGTCACCACAGGGGATTACTAACTATAGCTGGCAGAAGGTGTTCAGTCAATACTAACAGTCACCACAGGGGATTACTAACTATAGCTGGCAGAAGTGTTCAGGTCAATACTAACAGCCCACCACAGGACTACTACTATAGTAGCTGGCAGAGATGTTCAGTTCAATACTAACAGTCACCACAGGGATTACTAACTATAGCTGGCAGAAGGTGTTCAGTCAATACTAACAGCCACCACAGGGATTAACTAATAGCTGGCAGAAGGTGTGCAGTCAATACTAACAGCACCACAGGGGATTACTACTATAGTAGCTGGCAAGGGTTCATTCAATACTAACAGCCACCACAGGGATACTACTACTAAGCTGCAGAAGATGTTTCAGTCAATACTAACGCCACCACAGGGGATTACTAACTAGTAGCTGGCGAGAAGTGTTCAGTCAATACTAACAGCCACCACAGGGATTACTACTATAGCTGGCAGAAGATGTTCATCAATACTAACAAGCCACCACAGGGATACTAACTATAGTAGCTGAGGCAGAAGTGTGTTCAGTCAATACTAACAGTCACCACAGGGGATTACTAACTATAGCTGGCAGAAGGTGTTCAGTCAATACTAACAGCCACCACAGGGGACTACTAACTATAGCTGGCAGAAGGTGTTCATGGTCAATACCTAACAGCCACCACAGGGGACTACTAACTATAGCGGCAGAGAGGTGTTCAGCGTCAATACTAACCGCCACCACAGGGGATTACTAACTATAGTAGCTGGCAGAAGGTGTTCCAGGTCAATACTAAACAGTCACACAGGGGACTACTAACTATAGCTGGCAGAAGTGTTCAGTCAATACTAACAGCACACAGGGGATACTACTATCGCTGGCAGAAGGTGTTCAGTCAATACTAACAGCCACCACAGGGGATTACTAACTATAGTAGCTGGCAGAAGGTGTTCAGTCAATACTAACAGCCACCACAGGGGATTACTAACTATAGCTGGCAGAAGGTGTTCAGTCAATACTAACAGCCACCACAGGGGATTACTAACTATAGTAGCTGGCAGAAGGTGTTCAGTCAATACTAACAGTCACCACAGGGGACTACTAACTATAGCTGGCAGAAGGTGTTCAGTCAATACTAACAGCCACCACAGGGGATTACTAACTATAGCTGGCAGAAGGTGTTCAGTCAATACTAACAGCCACCACAGGGGATTACTAACTATAGTAGCTGGCAGAAGGTGTTCAGTCAATACTAACAGCCACCACAGGGGATTACTAACTATAGCTGGCAGAAGGTGTTCAGTCAATACTAACAGCCACCACAGGGGACTACTAACTATAGCTGGCAGAGGTGTTCAGTCAATACTAACAGCCACCACAGGGGACTACTAACTATAGCTGGCAGAAGGTGTTCAGTCAATACTAACAGTCACCACAGGGGATTACTAACTATAGTAGCTGGCAGAAGATGTTCAGTCAATACTAACAGCCACCACAGGGGATTACTAACTATAGCTGGCAGAAGGTGTTCAGTCAATACTAACAGCCACCACAGGGGACTACTAACTATAGCTGGCAGAAGATGTTCAGTCAATACTAACAGCCACCACAGGGGATTACTAACTATAGCTGGCAGAAGGTGTTCAGTCAATACTAACAGCCACCACAGGGGACTACTAACTATAGCTGGCAGAAGGTGTTCAGTCAATTACTAACAGCCACCACAGGGGACTACTAACTATAGCTGGCAGAAGGTGTTCAGTCAATACTAACAGCCACCACAGGGGATACTAACTATAGCTGGCAGAAGGTGTTCAGTCAATACTAACAGCCACCACAGGGGATTACTAACTATAGCTGGCAGAAGATGTTCAGTCAATACTAACAGCCACCACAGGGGATTACTAACTATAGCTGGCAGAAGATGTTCAGTCAATACTAACAGCCACCACAGGGGACTACTAACTATAGTAGCTGGCAGAAGGTGTTCAGTCAATACTAACAGCCACCACAGGGGATTACTAACTATAGCTGGCAGAAGGTGTTCAGTCAATACTAACAGTCACCACAGGGGACTACTAACTACAGTAGCTCAGGCAGAAGGTGTTCAGTCAATACTAACAGCCACCACAGGGGACTACTAACTATAGTAGGTGGCAGAAGATGAGATGGGCCTAAGGCTATAGTCCGGCTGTAAGAACTAGCAAACAGCTAAATCTGAAGCACGAAAGAAAATCTGAGGGCTACTGAACTGAAAACGTGTATGTTCGCGACTCGACTTTACATATTTACACGGCTAGAGTTTTCCAAATATCCTAGCATCTATATATACAGCTGGTAAACAGTTTTTGTGTTTGTTCCGTTCATACTTTGAATACTTTTCATTGAAACGAATGCACAACACGGACGGTGTTTGTGCAGATCTGCAGTAACCACATACCAACATACCTACCTACCTACCACTCCACCAACTGAGGGACAGGGAGTGTAAATCATGCACATGGAACTGTAGAACATTCTAGAATCTTTGAGCCCATGAGTCACATAAACAATCGTCATGTGTTGGATCGCAGTTTGGTGCAATATTATGTCGGACTCTTGGTCAACATATTCCAGGATAAACAACATTAGCCTATTAAGCCTGACATGCTATGCTGCTCCTGCTCTTCCCCGCGGATAGACTGTGCAGCTCCTGACGCAAGGCGAACAGAAGGGACAAACGTAGGAGGGAGCAAGGACAAGAGAAGAACGGAAGAGCGAGCAAGAAGAAAAGAAAGAACAGAAAAAGAAGAACAAGGAGGGGAGGAGGAACAAAGAGAAGAAGAGAGAAGAAAGAAGAGAAGAAAGAAAAAGAAAGCAAGACAGAGAAAAGAGAGGAAAAGGGGAGGAGGAAAAAAGAGAAGACAAGAGAGAAGACAGACAGAACAAAGCACCAGACCTCCAGAGCGACCTCACTCCCTACGCACACAGAACCCAAATCCCGTCTCACATCCCTATAATCAAATACACTCGACACAGCGCTTACACCCCTTTTTATATTCATCTCCTCGCCTCCCCCTCCCTCCTCCCTCTCTCCCTCACACCTCACCCTCCCTCTCTTCTCTCCCTCCCTCCTCCCTCCCTCTCTCACCTGTCTCTATTTCCTCTGGGATTGAAGTTCTGAATCTGCCACGACGAGAACCGACTGAACCAGCATTTGGAGAAGAACTCCGTTGTACAGCCAACTACAGAGATAGGTAGAGAGAGAGGGGGAAGAAGGAATGCACAATAGTTGTGTAAGAGCATAATTGCTGGCACAGGTAACTTTTTTCACCGGGTTACCTCAGATAATCAGCGAATATCATGCCTGGTAGACTGAAGGAATGGTGAAGAGTTTGTAGTCAGAAAGAGAGGAATGAAAACTCTACCAGTGGGACTCAAACGTATGGATTTAGAAGTGCGTCCTGAACTAAACCTAGTGATAAATTTGCCATCATCTATGAACATACGTACTATAGCTAGCAGACAACTGCAGTGTTGCTTAGCGGATATGGTAGTGAGCATTATGCTAAATGCATGGTAGTGAGCATTATGCTAAGCGCATGGTAGTGAGCATTATGCTAAGCACATGGTAGTGAGCATTATGCTAAATGCATGGTAGTGAGCATTATGCTAAGCGCATGGTAGTGAGCATTATGCTAAGCACATGGTAGTGAGCATTATGCTAAACGCATGGTAGTGAGCATTATGCTAAGCGCATGGTAGTGAGCATTATGCTAAGCGCATGGTAGTGAGCATTATGCTAAACGCATGGTAGTGAGCATTATGCTAAGCGCATGGTAGTGAGCATTATGCTAAGCACATGGTAGTGAGCATTATGCTAAACGCATGGTAGTGAGCATTATGCTAAGCGCATGGTAGTGAGCATTATGCTAAGCGCATGGTAGTGAGCATTATGCTAAACGCATGTAGTGAGCATTATGCTAAGTGCTTGGTATACGTTACCCCAGCGACGGCACATTATAGGGTATGATATATTGGCCAGTTGTAGCACCCACTTAGCTGTACAGCAGAGGGCTGAGTCACTCCCTAATCAACACCCACTTTGCTTTCCTTATAGAAACTACCTACTAAAAACTACCATGCGTTTAGCATAATGCTCACTACCATGTATAGGTTTGATGATGGCAAGTGTGCTCTATGAGCGCGCAGAAGGATTTCTAGCTCCATTTGCAGCACACCTTTATATTGTGGGTATTACAACTACAGTAGACAGACAGACAGACAGACAGACATAACTTACTGCCCCACTCGCGACTGTTGCTGGCGAGGAAAGAAGCTCCGTGCTGCTCTGCCAGTCTCCGCCCCTCATCAGTCACATGATTTCCACATGATGGATCAGTCACCATGGCAATAATGAGCACAGGGATATTGGGTAGTTGAGAGAGAAGGTGTCTGGGGATGGAAATGTCGGGGCAATAAACACTCTGATCAGAGAAATCTTCTAACACAACAACAAACCCAAGGACAGAAATGCAAACAGTTTACAAGAATAAAATAACTTTCAACTTTCAAAAGTGCTGAAGCGCAAACCTTCAGTGCAAGATAAGCGGTCAGGCTGTATATACATACTACGAATGTGCAAAGAGTGCCGCTAATTGATGGGCTGGGTCACACCACACGGTCGTTGGCGATGTCAGTTTCTCGCTCTAACGCGGTCTAGCAGCATCTGCAGTAAGTAGTGTTTGGAGCACCGCTGAACTGATCCTGAGTAACTTCCTCCTTCTTCCTCTTTATGGTGTGTCAAACATGCAAACACTGCTTGAGGTAAGGCAGTGGCCTTAATCTGCCTTAAACATGGTTTTTAACACATGCACGGTGTCCGGCTGAGTGGACCACAAGTATGGACGCAAACTGCAGATCGTGGCTGGCTACACACAGCTGTGTGTGTGTGTGTTTGTGATTGGGGAAAGAAGGAAGAGAGGTAGTGTAAACAGGACTAAAGCAGAGAGTGGGCGGGTTTGTCAGTGTCACTGCATGCAGCCAGCCAGGTGCTTAAATGTACATGTAAACCTATCCACAAGTCCAGCAACATGTGCAGTGCTAGGCTCTTTGTTACTAACTGGTCATCAGGGGAGTTCCCCATCTTTCACCATGTCACACATGTTTCGGCCTCTTTAAACTCCCGACACGTGAGACACTCCAGAAAGGGTGACCTGGTTGGAGTCCATGTTTTCCTACTACATGGCTACAATAATATTATTGTACTTACAAACTAACCTACGTCACATAAAGGTATACCAGCTATCCTTAGTAATAGCTTGCTTCATTTCTTTGGTCTTCTCTCTATTCTTGGTTTTATACGCCTAGTAATGTGGATGTTATGTCTACTAAAGTCTTCCCTCTCTCTCTCTCTCTCTACCTATCTCTGAGGTTGGCTGCATGTACAACAGAGTTCTTCTCCAAATGTTAATTGGTTCAGTGTTGTTAATTAGAGTGTGTGTGTGTGTGTAACAGAGGTAGAGTGGGCAGCACACAGCTGTGTGTGTGTGTGGGCAGCACACGGCGTGTGTATGTGTGTGTGTGTGGGCAGCACACGGCCTGTGTGTATGTGTGTGTGTGGGCAGCACACGGCCTGTGTGTGTGTGTGTAGAGCTAGAGTGTATGTGTAAACATAAACATTCTAGTAGCCTGGGAATCCTCGCGTCTTCCCTCTTATGGACTCAACAACCATTCATAACTCCATAAAGGCTTCGGAGGCCATATGTGTACGATACCCTATACCCTAAATATACATACCGCAGCATAAACAGAGCAGTGTAATGTTAGTATATAGTAGAATGCTGTGGTTGGGGACGAAGAGCACAATATGGCAAACTACACGCATGGAGGGAGAGACATAAGGACATATGTATGTAGGGTGGGGCGGCATTATTTTGGTGGTGAATACACAATGGCGTGCAATATGGACTTTTGCAGTACTAGTATGTACATAGTAAAATGTTAGTGCTACCCCAGCAACCTTGCATTATAGGGTATGATTTATTGGCCAGTACAGCAGAGGGCTGAGTCACTCCTTAATCAACACCCACTTTGCTTTCCTTATAGGGAATTCAGGCATTGTGCTCGAGAAACATTGCATGCTCGCACTATACATAATGACAGTTAGCCTCAGTGGCAGTCCAAGTGGAGCCTGCAATCTTACCACCGCCTCTGTGAGAGAGAAGGACCTCTAAAGACACCTGTTCTGTGAAATCTACGCGTGGTAGAAACCCAAGGGCCCTTGCGTTGTGGCATTCTGAGTGCAGCGAGGATGCTACGTTATGTATGTGCAAGGGCCCGAGGACATCTAGGACGAGATACACCCAACTTATTTAGTATACATTCCAATTGATGCTCACTTGTTTTTACGTGTGTGCGGGTTGCGCGGGGAACGGCGCCGCGGGAACTTAGTAAACACGATGCGAGTTACTACTGAGATTTAGTAAACACGTTTTTCATGCCTGACTGCATACTAAGGTGCGGTATGTTGGTCTATATGGGCATTTGATGGTTTGTGAACTTGGCTTGGCCATACACACACTTGTACACACACACACTTACACAAACTCTCTCTTTCTACCTCTCTCCCTCCCTCTCTCCCTCCCTCTCTCCCTCTCTCACTCCCTCTCACCCACCCACCCACCCACCTCCTACCAACCACACACACACACACACACACACACACCTGAGAATGGCGATAGAGGCCGGTCTATGAGGGGAGTAGCCACATAAGAACCCTGCAAACACCTTTGACTTTATCTCCAGAATATCTGGCAGGGAAATAGAAACACACGCATACTATCACCACAGAATCAACAGGAACAGTGCATTCCTCAGATATATAAGGGACCCTCCGAGATAGGGGCGACCTCTCTACAATGGACACTTGTTTCAACCCCATGCTAATACTTTAGTGTATTATTTGACCTCCGAGATAGGGACGACCTCTCTACAAAGGACACTTGCTTCAACCCCATGCTAATACTTTAGTGTATTATTTGACCTCCGAGATGGGGACGACCTCTCTACAAAGGACAGCCCCATAGTGTCCCTTGTTTGGATGTTCCACTGTGCACAACATGGATACCTACTGTATGTTATTATCTCGATCAGTCTTTAAGCTGGCGGAGGGCTCAGGGCAAAGCTTAATAATGAATTTTCTGCGAAACGTGAGGCCAGGCTGATTTGTACACGTTATATACAACAGACCTGGCTTGTGTCTGGTAGAAATGGTGTTGTTGTTGCTAAAGGAGTCTTACTGAATTACCAGCTAACTAACTCAGGGAGGTTAACCATTTGAAATATGAGGTATGTATGCTCTTCCAGTGAAAAACAACTATATTATTACCACTAATTATTATTGGTGACATTGTAAGTTGAAATTAAAAGCATGACTGAAGGCGGTATATAAAATGTTAGGTTACTCACTCAGCGATGAGTGGAAGGAGAGATGAACGATGCTGTGCTGTCGCTCCAACGGACAGTTAATGAACAGGGCCTTCCCGTCACTACACACGGCTTGGTGGTGTAACCATGGCGACAGGAACTCCTTGGGAGAGTAACGGTCTTCGGCCAGTGTGAACACCGCAACACTAGAGGGCAAATGTCACTTTAACACTGCTGTGCAATCATTATATAGTGAAACCTCCAATTATCATCAACACATTCGAATCCCACCCAGGGCATCTCTTCTTTTTTGCTTGGAAAAAAAGAGCTGTGCTGGGTGTAGTTGATGTGCCTTTGCCTTTCTACCTCGTAGTTTTCCCATGCACCTTCATCACATATCCCCCTCCCCCTCTACCCCTCACTTGAGGGCCTTGGGATTATACGTGAGACGTCCAGAGAGAAACTCAGTGTAGCTGGTCACGGAGTCAAGGAGGGAGGAGAGGAGAGGAGAGATGACCGAGGTGAGGACCAGTCTCTTGGGCTGGACGGTGGGTCTCTCTGTCACGAGGACACACTGGACTGCGTTGGCCAGCTCTTTGGCTCTCCTGCACAGCGCGGTGTCAGGGACGACGGCCTGAGAGGGGACTGTGTGTGTGTTTGTGTGTGTGCGGAGGAAGAGGAAGGGGAGGAGAGAGGGGGAAGGAGGATGGAAAAGTAAAGGTGAGGAGGAAGATCGAGGACAGAAATATTTTACGACTACGCTCTAGTTTGCAGACGCAGGCGGGCGGGCAGACACAAGAAAGACGTTTCTGAACATAGCCCTTGTATATGTGTACTTGCTTCTACTGACAGATTATTGGGAAGAAACACAGCATTATTTCCACGTAGCTTAGAGAATAAAATATTAAATCACGTTCTAGACTACTAGCAACAGATGTACGTACGTTCTTACAGTGGTGTATATATTATATATAGTCAATACTAGGAGAAGCTTTTCATGCATGAATCGAATGCCACATTCTTATATATACTGTGGATAAGTGTGTGTTTCTCCGGCAACTTACTGTCTGGAATTGAGTCGTCGAGGGCTAATATCACCAGGGGCAACCCCCGATATGGAGTGGGTGTGTCACCCCTCGGTATCCATAGCGACTGCAACACATTCTCCAGCCAGAGCAGGCATTTCTCAGAGTTCACCACGACAACGGCCCCTGTATATAGAACAGGCACATTCACACCCTGACACAATAACCCAAGCAAGTATAGTTAGGTTGGACATGAGAATTATTCTGGCAAAACAAAATATCGGAACATGATGCAAATATGTTCAAACAATTTTCAAACTTTCATGTTTTGCCGGTTAGTCTGAGTTTTTGCTACTTGACAAAAACTGGACATTTATCACAAGAACTCTAGACTTTGCCATTTAAATTGTGGGTGTGGTGTATGATTTATGTTATGTAGCTTCATTTCTTTAGTTTTCTCTTCTAATATTTCTTTTAACGTTAAATTAGAGTAGACGGAGAAAATTTAGGTGATTAAATTCTTTTTTTGTCTAATCCGTCTCCGTGGAGAAAGACTCAAACATTATGGACAACGCTTTTTTTCAACCAACTCTAATTCCACCGTACAATGCATAAAACGATCTGAAATGCCTACGAACGATTACAACATACATGTAGGTATATACCTTGTGGTTGTGAGGAGGGATGATGATTTAGAGAGGTGATGAGCCTGGTGGACGGTCTAGCTCCATCTGTACTTGGACCCTCTCACATCACACTCCCCAGACCCACTCATGTGGTTCTGTCAACAAACAAACAAGTAAACAAGTTAAACAAACAAGACAACAACCACAACAAAAGACTAGCCAAGTGGTGTGAATCACATATAGGTCTGTAAATCAAATGGGATTCCTTTTATCGTAACAATTACATATAGTATACATGAAAGGAGGCAGAAAAGGAGAGAAGTATTGATAATGGAATGGGGATATCAGTACAAAGTGGTAAAAAAAAAAAATGGGAAAAGGTGGTTTGTTTTCACGATTATGCGAGGGTGTTGACTGATTTTCAGACCTTTATCACGGGGGGTCCTGACTGGATTTCAGCCTTATCACGGGGGTGGGGTCTGACTGAGTTCAGCCCGATCACGGTGCGGGTCTGATATTTAAGCCCGATAACAGGGGGTTGACCTGGATTTCAGCCCGTGATCACAGGGGGGCTGACGATTTCAGCCCCGATCAACGGGGTCATGATTTCAGCACGATCACCGGGGTTGATGATTTCAGCATAATGAGTAGCAAAGAGGGGGAGGAATGGAGGGGGAAGGATCCCGAAACCTGGGGAGCGGCGGGGTATAATAATCTCAAACATGAAGTCACTGAGAGAGATGAGGGAGTTCCGCGGAGGGTGCTCTCCCAGAATGACAGACAGAAGGACCGGTTTTTTGGTTGAGGCTCGCAGTACCAGGCCCCCCACTGGAACTGCTGGTGTCACTGTCGGTGTTGTGTACTCAAACAGACTGTGTCGCCTGGCCAGGTCCTCCTGACGTAAAACACATATTCTAGATATAGATACCAGGACAGAGACGATGAAACTAGAATGAATGCCACGCTTTTTGGGCGAGCATGACAAAGAGAGAGGAGAGAGAAAGTTAAAGTTTCAGAGCGTGTTTGAGCAAATTAGAAATCACGTAGAAATTAGAACTTAATGTTAAGTGCAGTGCCCCTGTGCGAGTGCCCCGTCACATAAACACGGACAAAAATTCCTGCATTGAATGGGAACTAGTAGGCTTGCTTCGCTCTGAAATACTTATGGGCGGGTATCACTTTGCATTAGTTTCTTATAGCACCTACATGCAACTAACACAATGACGAGGATAACAAAGAGAGCAAACTAGCAAAAGGAGTGGAAAAGACAGGGAGAAAACAAAAAACAATAATTACCACAACACACAAAAAAGACCAGAAAAAAAGGTTGAACAATGAGCAAACGTTTACGGTATCTGGAAGTAGTATATAAGTCTCAGGCATCGACTATAGCACGCATGGAATCATACCCACACTTTACGTGTAGAGAGGTACAATAATTGCCGAGTGCATTAGCGCGAGGAGGCTACTACCCCAGGTGTAATTCTCGGATATGCGTAAGGTCGTCACGCTTAAGAAGTTGTCAAATTAGTCCCGATTGGAGGACTGTCAATTAGTCACGCTTAGGAATGTAACTTCCGCATTCGTAGAAAGAAGTATAGCTTCCGCCGTGCACGCACGCAGATCGTAGCAAAAGTACTGCTTCGCGCGCAGCAGCTAGAGCGCGCGACGAGCGGCCTCAGCGGACTGTTAATGGATGGCAGGGCGCGAGGAAAGAATGCGCCCGCTGCGCAGTCATACGCTTTATCTTACACAACTCGTGTGTTGAGGAGAGATACGAAACCTGGGAAGGAGAGAGAGCTGCAGATAACTAGGACTTGGGAAGGAGGAACGAGA